TGTTGCGTTGGTCAATTTGAAATAGATTGACCCATATGTAGATATTGTGCAGTAACCTAACCCATTGATTTGGTATTCAGAAATTTATTCAACCACTTGATCTGTGCTATTAGGCACACATCATTAAGCATGTGGATGTAATATAAATAAAACGTTCAATAATGCAAATAAATGTAATAGCTCTAACGTGCATAAGAAGGACGTAAATATGTACGTATGTATGTATATCTATATTAAGAAGGGAAACTTTTGTTAGCTTCATGGGTGTCATATACATATTTATGTACATTAATAGATATGTATGTATATTCACATAACCCACAAAAAATTTTGATCATCCAAAATTAATCTTGCTTACTTACTCTAAAACGTATTAATAAATTTTGGGCGCTCGCTTATTGCTCCGAATGGATGAACAAGTCGTTGCTCGATCTTTAATGCTCGATTTTTATATCAATCTATGCATATTGTACTGGGTCCTTACAAATCTTACATATGTTACTACATACAAACATGTATGTATGTATATATGCATATGTTATGAACTTGTTTTCAGTTACCTGTGTGTATTCATTCGCATAACTGCACTGGACACATTCATATACGGCGATGCTCTCTATGGTTGCCTGAACAAGTCCTGTTGTAATGCACGAGAGTCATACGTATGGAAATAAATCACAATCTTGCATTACAAAGTAAATACAAACAAACATACATATGCATACATTTGTATGAATATTCAACAAACTTGAACATACTTAGTCGCATTTTGCTTTAGTCTTCATCTTCTTTCTACTTCCCAGATGACCGATTTCAATTTGCTTCGAAGCATAAATCACATACTCGCAATCGCCAAACAAATACAGTGTGTCGTCAAAATATTATAAACACTGCAAAGTAGCATTTTAAAGTGTAAAACATTTAAAGTTTCTTTCATGCTGAATTAATCATTGTCATAATCTGAGATATGTTAGACAAAGCAGTCGAAAAGGGTAATGGAGCATCGGGTTCTCATTACACCCAGCCATCGGGCATGGAACAAATTCGGAAATTTCGATTTCATAACTGAAGAAACGGATTGGTCCGAGTGAGCCCGTTCTCACCCAAACTGCCTCAACGAAGGTGTGTGTGTGGGAGAGAGGACTAATGTGTGGAAAAGGCCCATCGTATACGTATATTTGAGAATAGTTCAAAGGTCTATTATATTGTAAGGCGGATTATTCTAACAAGAACTCTCCGTCAATCTAAACTTTAGACAACCAGATGCCTATAGCGAGTTTCTAACAGAGGTTGCCACTATCAAAGATGAAACCGATTGTATGACTCGGTTTGGAGAAACTAATGTTTATGTATTTGACAACTAGCGACAATCACGGTTTTTTTTGCAGATATTGTTTACTCTCTTTCTCTCTCTATCCCTCGCTCGCCTATAAAGACTTCGAAATCTACTTGCCTGAGCTCTGTGACTTCGCAGGAAATTGCATCAGCGATGAGTTGATAAGATAGGGTACCCACGAGCTCGTCTATATTGGCGGTGTGGTTAACAAATTTTCTTGACAACCTGCATCCTGCTCTGACTAGGTACTGATAAGATCACTTCCTATGAAATTTGGCATTATTTCAGAGCCCTAAATCTGCAGCTATTCGGAGAATGACAAGGTGAAATCATGCCTGCTTTTTCTACTTAGCTGCTCTGCTAGTTATTTTGAGCTCAACAAACACCTTGGCTAGCATTTTATCAAATCATGAGCATATTTCTTTTTCTTTTATCTGTAAGGACGTTGTTAATATTCAGTGAATATTCAATTGTACTACCATGCGAAGCTGCCTCCTAACCAGACAAAAAAAAACTTATATCAGCAATCCTATCTAATATCCTGTAATCCAAATATCCCAGATTCTTGACTGGATACTGCTTCTGTAAACTGTTGTTGCTGTCTGTAAATGTGTGCAGTGAACGCATCTCAACTAGTGGAGAGATGCCTACAGCACTTTCAGGATTTAAAAAAGCTCTTTCGTTCAACAATGGGAATTGCAAGAAGGTAAGTTAGTCAGGGATAATACAAAATGCCATGTTGGCTATGTAATGGCCACTGACTGTTTCAATAAATGGCATACTTAGTGTTGGTGTTACTTTGTGCGAACGAGCTGCACACTTTCACGCTAGCCTAATGGATACGGAGTTAGTAACTTTTTTTAAATTTTAACTATTTGTTTATAAAAATATAGTACATTCTTTAACAAAAACCATATCAATCCAAGTTTTAATCTTAGCGCAAAATTTAAAAAAAAAACTAACAAACTTTCGTTTTCGATTTTTTAGAAATTTTTTGAGTATTTATGCAGTTTTGTAGCTCATTGAATTTTAGTATAACAAAGTACAAGTTTAAAGTAGCCCCGACTTATCATTGATTTTTGGGAGCCCATGCTCAGCACCCATTTAGCGCACGATTGAGAGAATATTCTATCATTCTTGCATTTAGCGCTGATAGCACCATTTTGATACGCGTTCTCTGGGATCCTTGATTTTATGTGCTTTCATAATTCATCTGTATCGTGAAACCATTTGGATTTCTCGATGAATTTATTTAGGTTAGTAATGGTACATTTAGAGATCTCCCTAAGATTTTGAATGGAAATCCCTAGTATGTCACGACTTATTCATGCCCATGCTGGGCGCTCGCAAAGATAGTGTAGTATCGTTTTCTTACTTTCCTCAAGAATACAGCCACGGCACCGGGGGTTGTAAGGAAGGCCCATTTTAGCTGCAAGTTCACCAATGGACCAATCTCCCATTATCGTGGCTGTTAATTTGACTATATCTTTCCTCGATCTCTTTAGAAGTTTTCCTGTTTTTGGCTTATCAGGCCCTTTCGATTTCCAGTACTTCCGCTTGAAAGATGCTAGAATAGTTAGGTAGTCGGAATGAGAGACACATTCAAAGTTTCAGAGAACACCCCGTACCCACACCGCAGTCCATGTTGGACCCGTCAGTATAGATTTCAGTGGAATACTCCTCGACTATCCTACTCCTACTGCAATCCCGTCTTGAAGGAAAATTTACCTGAAAATTTTTCCTGAAATCTATCGTAGGAGATATATAATCTGATTGTTTCCCTGATTCGATGAGCTTGTCAAGAATACCACTATGACCGCGCCGTAGCGCCCTCCAGTAGCCTGACTCTTTGAATCTGACTGCTGTGGACGCAGCAGTTTCGCGAATGTGGAGTTCTATGGGCAGTTGATGCAGCATGGCATTAAGCGCGTATCAGATGGGCACGACTGATACGACCTGATACCGCCACTACTGCATCATCTGCAAAATTATGATGATGTGGTCAGATATTCCCATCATCACAAAGGGATCGAACAATTGCTTCGATTGTAATGTTATTGAAGGTCCCCTGTCTATCTTTCGGAAAGTCGCAAACGTGGCATTTTGTTGGCGCTATGAAATTTGTGTGAATTCTCACATTTCCACTCGTCGGATTTCCGTAAGGCCTTGATATATGTTTGACAAGCGAGCGTAATCTTCTTCTACTAAAATCCGGGAAATGGCATAAGAGGTGTTGTAGATTTTCTTCTTCTTCAATTCTTTGCCACAACAACATGACATGGCAAACATTTCTTTTATTTACAATTATTTATTTATACAAGGTTGTTCCAGCGTTCTTGGATACTGGATTGATGCTATGCTACTCGGAGAGTATAACCTCCACTTGCTACCCACTGCAGTGGTGGGTGAGTCGATAAGGCGTACCTAGACTCAGTTAAGGTGAAAAAGTCCTCCTACGACTCTTCCTTGAAGTATAGAGCCATATGTGTAAAAGTTAGTGGCTTAAGATACATAAGTAACCTTAGGTCTGACACAGCTGTGCATTTATTATAGAGGGTTTACAATAGTGGCTACTGATGACTATCGAGATAATCGCCAAAGTGCTTATGATGATCATAGCCTGAGGTTTCCTAAATCTTTACTCCGACCTCTTTAAACTTTACTACTGCAATACCGACCACCTGTAAAGACAATAGATCAAGTAGTTAGAGGTAGATTCAACATTTAGCGCTTCCACGGTTGGAGAGCAAATTGTCCTCTTATACCCAATTCCGCGCTAAAATGCATCCTTCGCATACTTTTGGGCGCTATTGACTTGATGAGTGTAGCCTCAGTCTGAGCTGGGTTTACTTCAATCACTTTCTTAATTATATCACATAAGGTCTGGAGAAACATATCCTGTATTACTACAGGCATGCGCTTATTATAATCCATAAGAGTGCAGAGTGGCATGGGAAATGCCAAAATCCGTTGAGGCGGCTCTTGGAGTATTCGAAAAAAAATTTGGGGAAGATTTACGGGCCTGTACGCATTGACGACGGCGATTACCGCAGACGATGGAACATAGTGCAGCGAAAATACAGCGGCTCCACTGGCTTGGCCATGTCGGTCGAATGTGCTAGATAAATAACCAATATAACTGAAAAGCGAAGGAATCATAATTTCATTAGATTTTCAAAGGTGAATATATGGCTTCTGACAAAAATAATATACAAGAACCACACAGAATAATTGCTCCGTTAATAAAAATTATTTTTAATGGATTTGTTAAATACGGTGCACTAATTCATAGTAATACTTTATTAAAAATGTGACGGTGTAATCAGGGTTCACCACAAAAAATATTATTTTCATACTTGTATGAATGCGATATTATTAACTGCCTCACTGGGAATCATCTTTGGATTCATTTGTTACACTAAGTATAGTCCGGAGAGCCGCACGTAAAGCTCTTAAGCCACTCTGTTTGAATTATCCACAGAACTCTAAGCGATTCTCTTGCTCGACACTCCCTTCATATTTTTCCAACGAGAGTACAAAATCTCGCCCAAAAAAACAAGGAAGGCTATTGAAGTACTTGCGAAGTATTGTATTTTTATCCAAAAAAAGTCATCCAGCACTAATGGTCGTCCATAGTCGAACGGTTGGCTTAAATCTTCAAACACTATCTTTTTAGATTCGGCATTAATAAGAAAGTCATCGACATCCACTCTTTCATAATACCCGAAGAATGCAGACGCAGTACAAAGTCATCCAATAAATCACGATATGGCAAATCCGCACGGATGGGCAGGCAGCAGGACATGGTTCTAAAAAAACAAAACTCAGAATTGAAGTAGAATATGGGCCGTCTGAAGAGACTCTGTTGGAGTTCGATGGTCTCCCAGCGCAAATTTGTGATAGGATATACATATTTTGTATTCATGCGTGAACGGAGCTTCACCCAATCTTCGTATTTTGAAATTTTGAATAGATGAAAGTGCTCCAAGAGGTTTTTATTCCCTTCTATGATTGGCACATCAGGCTCAGCAAATAAAATTGTCATACCAGCAGCTTCCAAGTCTTCGTAACTATGATGCATCGGTAGAAGAGGAGGATAAGTGAGAAAGGACTGCAGGTAGGCTTGATAAGTGGTGTTAGTAATGATGCTCATATAGCACAGCAAAAATACGACGAACTTGGTTTTAACGCTCGATTTAGCGGCTATCACAAAAGACTGGCTCAGCATGCCGCGAATGCTCTGATCGTTTAGAAATAGGTTGATAAAGTTGATTTGCTTGCGTTTATCGAGGTGAGTGAGGTGAGTGAGTAGTGCAGCGAAAATAACAATGAATACGAAGATGCAAAAGAGCATTGGTAGTCGTACGATGCCGATGAATAGCTCATTTATGGACACACTTTCCGGTAGTGGCACCATGTAGCAAAAATCCAGCAGCTGTACTGGATACGACAGCTTTTCTAAGTCGTGAGTTGGTTTCACAAATACCATGCCAGCAGGAAAAATTTGTGAAGGCTTGGCAGAATTTTCCTTCACTGCCAGCAATAAAATAAGTATCAAGCTCTTCAAGCGCTGACCCATCGACATGGTGGACGTGCCTATTGAACGGCGTGACTCGAAAAACTGAACTAGTTGTGCATTCGACGTAAAGTATGCATTTATTGCGTGCATGTATTTGCAGTTCAGATTAAAAAAAATACATTTCCATAGAAAATTGTTTAACGCTTCCTTTTTCATGTTTTCTGAACGAAACATACTAAAACTATGCAATGCTATGGTGGTAGTCATAAATGAGTGGGTAGACTTTTGAATTAACACTAGTTAGGATTCTGATCGATCTCTGGCTCACACACATTAAAAATTATTGACAACGTTTTTTTTTTTTTCAAAGCAAAAGTTAATCGATATAAGTCTTTGTAATACATACTAACATAATTACAGAGTTGATGTTGTATTTAGATAGTTAATTATTTAGAAGGTCAGTTTAAGCTTTCTAATTAGGGAAATTAGAGATACAATTTCTAATTAATTTTTCTTAACCTTCTGTTTTGAATAATCAGGCACTTTCTTTCATCGGTCCTTATGCTTAACCTTACTGACTAGTCTTTTATTAGGATTGAGTACCACTCAAGAAATTTGATTACAGAACTTCATCTTAAGAGCGAGCAATGACACAGAAAATTGCATAACGCCGAAATCGGTTTATCAGCGAACCAAACTTGACAAGGGATGATGGACATTCGTTCCAAAATAAATCGCCATACCACCCAGTCGGAGAAATCAACCAACACCAACATATAAATATATTAGATTTTATAATAATAATATTGGCAAGGTACCCTAATGTACATACAAAATTATTTTCCAAAAGAAATTTGGTATATACTTACATATATGCATATGTTATTTACTTATTAATGCTTTTTTTTTTAAATCGAAAAAATCTACATAAAGCAAATTGGCTGGGTGACATTAAAAAAAAATAAAAATAAAAATAGTTAAGTATGCAGAAATAACCGCTACTTCTTCTTCTAAGCTGTGCAAAAATTTCATAATTGTATCGATTACCAGTATCTTACTGGGGAAAAAAATTTATTAATTATTACTATGGGAGTATTTATAGATATATGGGGTATTCCATGAGTATGTGAAACATTGTCTCCAATTATATAGTAACTTATTGAACATGGAATGCTTGATGAATCAATGCTAAATATCTCAAATTAACGTACTTTCTAAGAAAAAATTTAGTTATATTATTTTATTACACTGTAAATGCACTCAAAACTTCAACATTAGAAAAGTAATTGAATACGACAATATATTTTAATATAGAAGTCTCTGCAAAATCAAGTATTTACAAAGTTATTATTTTTTTGAAGTGGGGAATACATGTCTCTATCTTTCTTCGTCCCAAAGAAGCAACATGGCATTGAAGAAAAATAAGCATTTAAATTATATAAAGGGGTGAAAACACTACGGTTTTGAATGTCCCACCCGTGACAAAAAGGTTTTAAACTTCGTATTGCTTAGTTACTATTTCGGGGATTTTTCTATAATTTCATAACTAGAGTGTGTTTATACTATGCAGCGCTATTTCATCTCTTTTATTATATTATAAGTGCCTACTTTAGAGAATTTGAAACCTTTTATCGTGTCCCGCCCGTGACAATCACTTATACATTTTTTTCCAATGGTGAATAACAATAAAAAAAAACAAGTTTAACGTTTCAAACCAATGTTTAATGCCACAAAAATTTGAAGTTCAGGTTGACTAAACACCATAATACTGTTGATGGGCTAAGCGATGTAGTAAAAAATTTCGCGTGGTCAGCTCGAAAGGTCAAGGTAAACATTACTATCATAGAGACGCCAGAGAATTCTATGATGAGGGTTGCTTAACAACAATCCAAAAGTCAATACTAACAATTACCCCAAAACTTCCAACCAAAAAAATCTAGAAGTTCGCCTAACTTATAAATTCAATCCAATAAATAGCCTTTAAGTGACAAAGATATATGTATCTGCGTACAAGTATTCTAATGCAGATAACTTTTCGGATTAGACATCAATACACAAGATCATTTCTGACGTTCTATGGTTTCACCAAAGAATAGATAAATTTGAGCCTGATTTGTCCATGAAATCAGTTTTCCAAAAATAACTCAACTCCAGCCACTCTTAGGGCCCGTTACTCAATGTTTGGTTAACACTAACAGCAGGTTAGACATCGCTATCGACGTGATAACGTAGTCGTTATCAGGGTTGTTGCGAATATTCGCATTCGCATTCGCAACCGCGGAGCTTCCGCATTAATTTTAACATTCGCATTCGCAGTAATCAATGCGGATCTTTTGCGAATGCGAATATTGAAGGAACCGAAAATAACAGTTTTTTTTTACCAGTTAAACTTGGCCAGATATTTTTTATTCCCAATTAAAAGTCTTTTCCGGATAATAAACAAACCGCTTTGGTACCAAATGAAGGAAATGTCTAAACGAGCAAAATGTTAATTAATTACCATAGAGCAAACCTTGGGTCTGGTATATGAATTTCTTTAGTATTAAATGATACAAAAAAATACAAATAGCGGTGGTAACCTTCTTTCGTTATTTCTGCTCAAAAGCTATTTCAGTAACAAAAGAAAGGATTAAAATTGAATTACAAAAACTAAAATCGAAAAACGCGGTTGACGTTACAGGTTCTCCAAATTCTGAAACAACCAAAAGAATGAGAATGAAGAATTCTTTGGAAAACAACGGTGTTTAAACAACGATCTTGCCATGATACAAGATTGTGAAGATTAAAGTCAGGAGGACACATCCGACAATTGCAACCCGATGCATCCATGTTTAACCTGTAGTTAGTGTTAGCCAGACATACATAGATAGTTTAAATAAACTTGAAAATCATGAGGGCACATTCAAAATTTCATTGCAATCAAATGCACCGTGCAGAAGTGCATTTGGAAAAAGCATATAAAATTTCATGCGTTTGCAAATAATCCATTCTCCCATGCTTTTTAACACATCAAACTGGCGACTTCTAGCTTTCGTTTGGTGTAAATATTGCCCCCTAAAATTGATCCTGAGGGCAGCAGAATATCGTGCGTCTTAAAATGACCCTACTCTGATAAAAGTGGGTCAATTGATCTTGTATTTGGCCTCTAACAATTATCATACCTAAGCCTTTTGATATGGATCTCACTAGAACCTCCATTCCATGAAGAAAATCGTACGTGTCCCACCCGTGACAAAAGTTGTCCTACCCGTGACAGGAGAATTTTGATTTTTTTAATAATAAACAACTAATTCTTGTTATGGTTTGTGCTTTGTTAGGATTGCTGATTCTTTTATGTATAGTAAAACATCTAATTCAGATAGAAATGTTAAGTAAATTCACAGACTTTCTGTGAAATATATGTTCTCCAAAAAGCAGGGTCTTTTCTTTGTCCTACCCGTGACAGAAGAAACAGCCCGGATTTTTCCGATATAAAATCAAGTTGTAATATTTTTCGTATTTGGTAATAACTCGTATATTAGTAAACTAGGTGTACCTTTATCGAAATGTAGAATTGCTTAGTACTTTATACTTAAATTTAAAAAAGAAAACCTATTTTTGCTGTACAAATGTCCCACCCGTGACAATGGAATACCCCATATGTAAATTCAAAGCTTAAAAATCGTTTTTCTCGAGTTTTTGATTTTTTGGCTTATGACACTCTTGCAGCAACTGTGCAGTATGTTGTAACAAAACAACGGCAAGGGCAACTGAAAAAGATTTTTCAGGCCAACCTACTTAACTGAACCAAAATTTGGAGCCATTTCTCGTTTTTGATTATACATTAGCTTTCAGTGATAAAAATGTTCCGTGCCAAATTTTTGCATCTGTTACAAAAAAATTCAAGTTACTAATGAAGAAAATCGATGGATAAATAAGAAATAATGAGTGGTCAAATGAAAATGCGCAAGGTTTTTTTGTATGAAATATGAGCAGAAAAGCGTATTACACAGGTGTACGTGGCTTTAGCACAAATGCGAAAATTGGGCACAGTACCTGTTATTTTTTTTTAATTTTTCTTCTGTTAAAATTTGATTTCTGTTTTCATTTTATCATAACAAAACCTGGGATGATTAATTAATTTGTCAGAAACTATCAGTCATATCGGAAAGTGATGTATATATAGTTCATGGAGAATTTTATTAGCTTTGATTTGGCGTATGATTGTTAAATTTGTTCATAAGATATACGCGATTAAGTGGAACCACTTTTTGTTTCAAGCTGAATAACTGTAAATTGCAAATATCACGAAAACTTATCCATAGAAAAAAAAAATTAACTCGATTTTCGGAATCACCGAGCAATTCTACATAGAAATTGGATAGTGGAATCCATAGAACATTTTTGATGTAAACCAGGGCCACAAATGAAAATAACTTCTAGCGCAGTAACATGCCCTCCACAAAAAAAGCACACACTTTTCTTTATTGTTTTCTTTATTATGCTGATGCAATTTTGTCATCATACTTCGAACGGGAGTACAAAATTTCACCTAAAAAAGCCAGCATACCCAATGACATACTTCCGATATACAGCATTTTAACCCAAAAGAAGTCATCCACCACCAACGGTCGTCCATAGTTGAACGGTTGGCTCAAATCCAGAAATAAATACTACCCTTTTTAGTTTCGCCAGCACAAAAAAGTTCAAAGACACCCACTCTTTCATAATACCCGAAGAATGCAGACGCAGCACAAAGTCATCCAACAAATCGCGATAGGGCAGGTCTGTACGAATGTGCATACAGACAAACGTATTTCTGAACAAGCACAAGTCGGAATTGAAGTAGAACATGGGCCGGTTGAAGAAACTCTGTTGGAATTCGAAGATCTCCCAGCGAATATTTGACACAGCCCTGCAGGGAGTGACGTTAGCTTATACCTAACTTTAGTCTGTTTACGCGCACACTAGTGCTAACTATTAACTGTGTATTTTATTCGAAAAAAGCTAACTACTTTTGTGGGGCGATGGCCGCAAAAAAGTCAGACCTGGATACCTCTGCATTACATGTCAACTAACTTGTAACTAACTACTTTTGGACATAAAATATCAATAAGAAAAACAAAATATTTTTTTGTTTTTTTACTTTTTTATTTACTTATTTATTTACTTTATTTTATTACATTTCATATTTGTTTACATATTCTGCCCTGGGTGGCCCCATATTCGAACACCGTCAGACATAACTTCAAAATGATAGTATAAAATTTCGATCTTCCTTTTATTTGTCCTGAATATGAAAAAGAATCTGCGAAGTTCAGAAAAAAAGTGTATTGAAAGTAATTTTTGTATGAGGATATTTAATAGAAACTTGTAAAGAAAACCAACTCCCCATTGCGTCTGCATGACTCCTGCACGACTTTACAATTCACTTTAAGCTGGTTTTGTCATAGCTAATTAAAAGTGAGGTATTAATCGAAATCTCGCCAAAAAGCTAACTATAAGTTGGTTAGTTTTAACAATTGATAATTTTTCACTGCAGGGAGGATATACATATTTTGTATTCATGCGTGAACGAAGCTTCAGCCACTCTTCGAATTCTGGAATAATTTTTACAAGATGCATGTGTTCCAAAAGACTCTGATTCTGTTTTATGACTGATATCTCGTGTGTAGGAAATAGAATTTTTAAACCAGCAGCTTCCAAGTCTTCGTAACTACGATACATCGGCAGAAGCGGAGGATGGGTGAGAAAGGACTGCAGGTAAGCTGGTTAAGTGGTGTTAGTAACAGCGTTGCCGTTTTGCTCCGATTGGACCAAAATTGGTAGGTTCATTCTCCTTTGGTAGCTTGGTTGGTTTGATGAACCTTTTGGTAGGCAAACATTTTTTGAAAAAAAAAACAACCAAGTGGAGCATTAAAATTTGTTCACTTAATTTACGTTTACACGATCAAAACATTGCTTTCAGTTTGCTCACACGTATAAGATTTCTTAGTTTTTTTCTATATTTTATTAAGCAGACAATTTTCTGCAAACAAAAACTCACTTCCCAAAGCTATGACCGATTGGCTGTTGAAATAGAACCAGAAATTACCCATCGTCTTGAAAAAAAATTGATGATAGGCAATTTTCAAAGTGCAAATTGAAACGAATGTGGGATTTTTTTTATTGAAATGCATAAAATATTTGAATTTGTTTTTTCACACACAAAGAAAAGTTGTTTGATATAAATGGAATTAATCTCAAAGGTATTTAAATTTTTTTAAAAAGTTTTTGTACAATACGTCAATTCTTTTATTTAAAGACCCTGTTAACAATGATATGTGTAGTTTTAATTTTTACTGTTGATTTGTGTAGTTAAAAACCCCGTAAATTCTAGAAGTCTAGCATTAATGATGAACAAAATTTTGGTAGTTTGGAAACTGATTTGGTAGGCGTTTTGGTACTTAAAAATATTTTCAAGTGGCAACACTGGTTAGTAATGATGCTCATATAGCATAGCAAAAATACGACGAACTTGGTTTTAACGTTCGGTTGACCGACTATCACAAAAGACTGGCTCAGCATGCCGCGAATGCCTTGATCATTTAGAAATAGGTTGATAAAATTGATCTGCTTGCGCTTGTTGAAGTGGGTCAGTAATGCAGCGAAAATAACTATGAACGCGAATATGCAAAATAGAATTGGAATTGGTACGATGCCAACGAACAGCTCATTTACGGGCACATTTTCCGGTAGTGGCACCATGTAGCAATAATCCATCGTCTGCACTGGATACGTCAGCTTTTCCATGTCGTCATTGGGTTTCACATATCTCATACCTGCCGCTATATCGATGGTGCCATTTTCCGCCAACTCCTGCAGTACATTATAATGGACGGTTTTACCCATTTCATAGGGGTGATTTATGAAAAGTGTCGTATTACGTCTGGCCGCAAAAATTCTCAATGCTCTGCCTATGTATCCCTCCAGCTCCACTTTCCCATCCGCCTTATAAT